CAGATAAGCGTCCGACAGATCTATCTGCGAAAACACTGTACCTCCATTGAGGGATGCGAATATATCTTCCGGCAATGGTAACGGATAATCGTACGACTGCAGCGCTTTGTTGAGTCCAGTCGAGAAATCAGCACAAACTCTCAACTTCCCATTCGCTTTCCTTACACATACGATGGGAGCTGCCCATTCGCTATGTGTCACCGGACTTATAACCTTCAGGTCCAACAGCCTGTCAAGCTCCTTTTCGACGGCTTCGAGTGCGGCATGGGGGACAGGTCTACTAGCTTTGAAAACAGGACGAACGCTTTCGTCTACTTTCAAGTGTGCTTTTTCCTTCGTGCACGTATGCGTAGCCTTCGCTTCTGGATCCTTTGATCTCATACTCACACCATAGCTTTCCATGGACTTCCATGGAACCTCCACTAGCATTCTTGACGACCACGTTTGTGTTCTCCAGCCGAGGAGAACCCATGCTTCTTCAAACGGATTCATTCAACAATGTGATGTTCGATCCTGTATCTAACAGGAAGCTGACTGGATAACTATTCACTTTTGCTTCGATATACATACGTGTCGAGTTGACATCCACCATCGCATTCGCAATCTTCGCAATGTTGTGCACATGGCGTTTTGGTTTCGTCCAACTTCTGTTCTTGCTGGTATCGCTGCTTCTGTGGATTCTTCGTTTCGAATCTGGCAGAACAAACGCTCTTCTCTCCGCTACTCGTTCGCAATACTTTTCTTTATGGCCTGTCTTCTTGCACCTCTTGCAGAACCATAGCTTCGCTTTGCATTCTCTAGCAAAGTGAGCTTTACCACAGTTCCAGCATTCCGGCTTCGTCGGTTCTTCCTTGTGCGTTGCTTCGACTATTTTCGTGCATCCGGCTATAGTCTCGCTATCTTTCTTGAGACTAAGGAAGTTTTCGCACTCCAGGTACAATTCCTGTAGCGACATTTTTCGTCCAGCCTTGTACTCCTTGTCCAGTACGGCTATGAGTCGCTGCCTGATTTCGGTTTCTTTTTGGCTCTTCAAGCCAAAAATCCATAGCAGGCATTTGATCCCGTCGCTGTCGAGGTCGTGGATCTTCGCCTTTTCGCACAGTTCGTTCACTCGACCGGTATACATGAGGTAGTCTTCGGAATCCGCCTTTTCCAGCTTCAAACACTGGTATCGCATAGTGAACTCCGAAATCTTCACATCGAACAGCTGTTTCAACGTTTCGACGGTTTCTTCGAACTTGATCGCGGTTACCTCCTTCGGTAGCACATGCCTCTGGTATTTTTCGAAACTGTCCTTGTCCAGCTTTTCGCATAACAGCCTCACCCTGGCGCTCTCTGTGAGCTGCTTCGCGTCTTCGACAAAGACTTCCTTGTAACGAGCGTACCATCTGCTGAAGCACATATCCGCCTCGGGGTCGAAGGAGAACTTTTCGATCCTGTTACTGAGCGCGGACATCATATTCGAAATTTCGTTTGAGGTACTGCTTCGTTTAGTACCGGTAATGTGCTTCAATATCTCCATCAATTCTCTTCGTTCCTCTCTCATCTCCTGGAGCAGGATCAGCATTTCCTCTGAGCCAATCTTCGCCATGCTGATCTATCGGTTCGTTCTGACCGCTCTTTGCAGTCTTTTCGTCGTTTTGATTTCCTCGGGCTTCGTTGGTTCGGCTACTTCTTCGACTAGTAGCCGCCGCCCCTGATCGCCACTGTTGTGTCCTCCACGACGGACACGTCGACTCTTCGTCCTGAGGCAGCACACGAGGAAACAGAGAATATTTATTAGAAAATAATAGAACAGCCAAAAATAAGAGAGGCAGACGAGTGAACAGACAAACTGACAATGGCTAACAGCGAGCGCCTTTTATAGCGCTCATTTCCCGCGCATTGAGGTCGCAGGCGCCTCAGCGAGGGCAGATCATACGAGAAAACAACTGATCAGACACTAACATAACAGATGCATTCATCATTTCCAAAATCGCAATAGTACACTGACAATAATGTTTGCGTGTATTAAAAGTGGTCTTGAAAGCTGTTTTTGCAATGATCCACTTTAGTTAGTAGCTCTTGAGTATAGAGTTAGCTAAACAAAATTTTGAAAGGCGGTGGCTTGAAAAAATTGTTTTTTGTAAGATTTGGATGTCATCACGTGATAGACTCTTTAGATGCACCATAGTCCAGCCAAATCTGCCAAGTCTATATTGATTTAGCGCATTTTGAGGATCAACTGGATAAATCATCAAAACGCGCTCGAACCTCTACCAATGACCCCCCCCCCCACTCAGTGAAAATGTGCAGGGCTCGGGACGTTGGAATCGTTTTCAGGACCTAGCGTATGAAGTGGAGAGTAGAGGGAGCTTATAGTCGCAATTATCTGAGAAGGGTCCATTTCGCCGAGCTGGTCTTTTAGATCGTCCAGGGTCCTTTTTTGGCGACATCCACTAATTTTTAATTCACTTTTAATACAGCAGTAGTTGACTGACAAAAGTTATTGCGCGAGTACAAGTCTGTTATGCAAAGTAGAAGTGACAAAGATGGAAGTCAAATTCGGACATGAAATGTGCCAGTAGAGCCATTAGACATAATTTTTGGCTCGGGATATTATTGAGGTAAAATTGAGCGTTGACATAATTTTTGAAAGGTACAAAGGAGGGAAAACCTAAAAAATCGTTTTTGCTTAAGGCAAATGCGAACTCTTGTACTCCGTTAAGACGACAACATCTTCTCAACAACGTAATATCTTTTTGTTGAGCGGTTTATGAATCAGCATGTAGTGACGACACAGCTCCGGAAATGTTACTATAATGGTCAGTTTATACCTCAACGCTTGAATGTTTGGATTGCTTCTGAGAGTGTAAAGCAAATGTTAATGTTTGCTATAAAGTCGCTCATTTGTTGTCCTACTAACTGGCAGAGAGTTTAAATTGTCGAAACATTGTGATTCTCAATATTGGACACAGATGGCCAGTAGTTGCAACAGTCACAACGTAAGCAGTGCAGCTAGTCTATCTGTTACCAGTTAAAGGCACTTTGGCTTGGCGGTGTGAAGTGGGATGTGACTTAGAGTTTTGCGGAATATTTTCTTACAAGATAAGGATGATCTGTCAAAGTGGCCTTTTGAAATGAGTTCTACAGGGTGTCCCAAAAGTATGTATACACTGCTTGATCGTTGATATCTTTCTTCCCAAGAAGTCTTTTGCATAACTTCAGGTACCACTTTGTAAACTGGCTTTGATTTGGATTTACACTTTGGAGCAGATTACCTACTTCCCGTCAATGTAACATAACGGTAAGAACATTTGGCTTACAGCGTCATTGTAGATTAGTCAGGTTTCGAAAAAAGTCTCCAGAAATTCTAAAAAATGGGGTTTCAGGGTATTGACGCATGCCGATTTTATTACTCAACTTTTCAAGAGTTTGTAAAGTTTTTCAAATAATGTAATCACAATTTTAGGGAGCATTGTAAAGACAGCTAGTGCGGTTTATCTGGCGTATAAAGGAAACATTGTAATAAATTGCAAAGTTCACATTTGGTTTTAGCTACCCTAAATAACTTAGTACAAGAGTTTCCAGGTTGTTTGATTTGATTCCTAAGGCAAAATAGGGCCCTCAATGCCTTAAAACCCTTCTGGAAGTTCTTACCGTAATCTTACAGTAAAGAGGAACGATCGATGATTCTCTTCTTGCTATAAATCTAAGTTGAAGCCAGCTCTATAATATGTACCCAAAGGTAGGCAGAAGACTTTTAGGGAAGAGAGATATCAACGATCAGACAGTGGCCCGTAGTAAAGCTGCCTCATTCGATCTCAACTGAATGACATTTCAGTTGAGGCTTCGACGAGTCAGCTTGCCTTCAGTCGAGCCATTGATCCATATTTTCATTCACATTTTATCATTCTCGAGAAGACCACGTACTGTCAACAAGTCAAAACTCGTAATTTACCCCCATTCAGTCCTCCTACTACTAGGAATGGAAAGAGTGGTTTAAACTTGTTAAAAATGCGTGATGAACTTCCTCTACCCTGATTCTAAAAATGGATAATAGTTTCAAGCTCGCAAGGGTAAAAATCCTTCCAGAAAAGGTCGTTCAAGTTGCAGTGCAAGAAGGTTAACGTTTCAACACGGCCTAGCTTTGCTTGCGATTATAAGAGCGATGATTTGTTAACGAGTCATTTCTAGCAACATTCTTTTGGTGATTATTGATCAACTCCCTAGGTTCAGGCTCCATCTTTGTTTCTTGGCGTATGTAGTTGCTCCGAAAGTGCGCAAAAAATTGCTTGCATTCTCTATCGTACCAACCAAGCGAATTCCCACTGTCCCCTCAAAGCAGTCATACCACGAGCGATTTGACGAAAACAAATATCCAGGCGATTTGGCTAAGTGACACGGGAACGTTCGAAAGGCGTGCTGTCACAAAAACAGCTGGAAAAGACATTTTATTTTTTCTCATCTCATATTCATGTGATCTTCAGCTAAATTGCGTTCCAACGGGAAAATCTTAGAACCTGAGAACCTTACTACTTTGAGATATGAATCTAGTCTCTCAACACTGCCCAAATGAGCGCCGTTTGAAATACATGAAATGATAAACGATAGCAACTATAGGCCGTATCAGCCGGCATCGGTCTCGCGTTAGTATGCATTGCGAAATCGCACCGCCGCATGCGACGTGCTTTAACGCGTAGCAGAGTTCGCACGCGTCACATCGCACCGTCGCAAGTTGCCGCAGGCGCGACGTCGCATGACCGATGCTGGTGGGTACAGCCTATAACTGTCATTATCATCTCCCCCCTTTTGAGTAACACAGAACTCATAACATAATGGAAGTGCTATTTGGAAGTGCGTGCTTGTGCTAAGTGCTAAACGTTTTAATTGAGCATATTGGGATAAATCGCATATGTGTTAACAAAAGGACAAGAACTGAAGGTAATGCAAGGGGACGAATTCTTGACCAGAACTTTGTTATCCAATCCAACAAGTTAAGTTCTTAGACGTTCGGCCAGTTAGCATCCACCAAGTTCTAATGAACTCAAAGTGTGAACGTTGATGATTACCTGCTTGAAGGGCATTGTCTCAATACCCCGCAGATGTTGATATAGTCCTATAAAACAATTGCTTTGCTCACAAAAAAAAAACACTAATCGGTATAACGAGCTGCAGTCGGACTTATCCTGATTTCGTGTTCTCGTAATAATAAATCGTCTCCAGTGCTAGGAAAGTCAGTATCACCTTCGAAACAGTCACACGAATAACAGTTCCTTGATAGACACCGATAGTTGGCTAAACAACGAAGATCATAATCGATTTTCAAATTGCGATATAGTTTGTTTCATGACACCCAAAAAGCACGCTAGATTGAGGTGATGACCATAGACGACGGACAGCGTCAACATCAATGGGTGCAGACGCTGATCGTTAAATCAGCTATTATATCCAGCGTAAAAGTAAAAAAAGAGATTGCATGTTTTAGGAAGTTGAATATTCTAGTGCTTTCGGTAAAAAACAGTGAATCACCTCTAACTTTTTTCTACTCAAAACCAGCGGCTTTTGCTGCTTTTAACGGAGGATTTTGACAAATTGGAAAGAACTGTCCTATTTGTTTGAGGATATAGAATTCATATAAAAAAGATTGGAGTTGCCGAATGGATATTCCATTTTAAGGGCTTAAAGGCAGCGTCTCGGCAGAATGAGCCTACCTCAAATTTTGACGCAGATGAATAGGAGGCCATCTAAGTGAACCAAAACAGCAACTCCGCGCAGAAAATATGAACCCTGCAAGCCAGGGGGCGGCCCAACCGTCGCTCCCCTTCCTCCTTCCGCTCCCCAACACCTTATTCGGACGAGTATGTTCTCCGCTAGAAAACGCGGCGTCACTCGTAGCTTCGTAGGTCAAAATTGTTCTAGCGCTCTCTACCTCCTTACTCTGCGTCTCTGACGGCAGAGAATCACTCGCCCGCGCCCCTCCTAAGGGGGGGGGGAGGGGGGTTTCAAAAGAGGGGGTTTTCCCCATTTTCGCACTAATGGAAGTTCATGTCGTGATTCAGGGGGCCGGAGTAGCCCCAAATCTGCCTAAACCTCGGAGTTGAAAATTTGCCGAGCCGCTGCCTTTAAGCTAAAGCTAATTTCAAAAACAGTCGGGAGCAAGATAAATCACCCGAAACCAAGCTCAACTTTTTGGTTTTACCCTTCACCCCACCTCCATTTACCTCCTAATTCACGTGGCCATACTGATCCTCTTGATCCACTTGACATGCTTGATCCGCTTTGTGCAGAATGTGGTCACTAATTTGCCATTTGGCGTCGCATACAGCTAATTTGCATAACCCACGATGCATTTTCATCTACGCGGCGCCAAATGACGCTGCTGTGTACGCGCGTTTTACAGCGGATCAGGCGGATCAAGAGGACAAGTATGGCGGGTGCCTAAGATAACGGCCATAGGTTGCCGGCAACAGTTGCCGAGGTTGCCAAGGTTGGCTCGGGCTGTCGAGATTGCCGAGGTTGCTGAGGTTGCCGGCGTTGGGTCGTTGTAAGGCCCTATGATCGCCTCCACGTTTCGCGCTCTCTAAGCTGCCTCTGACCCCGGCGACGCCGGCAACCTCGGCAACCGTCGCCGGCAACCTATGGCCCCCTAAGGAAAACACAAACTGAAAAACCAAATGATTGCTTTGGTTGGGTTCATACTGATCTAAGTTCCGGAAGCGCACAATTAACATGCAGGTCAGTGTGAACTCAGCCTTCAGGTACGAGGCACAGCTATACAAGGATTTGATGCAGCACAATGTCGCCTTCATAAATTTCCATGATTCAACAGCCAAACAGAAAAAAAGACTTCTTGAAAGCGAGAAGAAGATAAAGCGGAAAGAATGTAAGTAACAACAGTAACTATAAATACAAAAAACATACCGAGTATTGCTGGAACATTTCAAACCAAAAAATTGACGATTTCGTGAAGAAGACTGTGGGTTTGTTGAAAAGTGAAAGTGAAAGTTGCCTCAAAAGGTGTGTTACAGGTTGAGCGGTTCGTACAGTTACCACTGACTCGCTCGTGCCTTGCACCATGTTCGCAGACAGATAGACGCCAGACTAACCGATTGCCGATGCTCGCAACCACTTCAGTTTTAAAGAGATGATGATGAACCAGTGCAAATTGAGAGAATGAAAAGGTTCTACCAGTGAAAAATCTTTGTTATAGTGAAATCGCGCAGCTGACATGATTTCCGTACAAAGTTACATCGACAGTAAATGTGCCGCGTCCTGGAAGCAGGCAATCGGTTAGTCTGGCGCCTACCACAATCTTTACAAAATCCCAGCAAGCGAGCGTGCCGGCTGCGGATGGCCAAATTGCCAGCTGCCACATTCTTAGCCTATATATCAAGATCGAAATCAATGCAGAAGATGCAACTCGCAATTACGGAGACCAAAAATCAAAACTTCTTATGGGTCAAAAAAAATCATCAAAAATGCAGTATTGCTAACAACGCACCTGCCTAAATCTAATATATAAGGAATCGTAAGCGCAATTCAAAAATGTGCTCATAGCGGGAAACCACATGGCGGTCCCGTAGCGCGCATGCTACTAGCACCTTCAATTGCTGGTTCACTAGTCTTATGGAAATGGGTAGTATGCAAAAAGAAACGGAAAGTACAGACTCCATACTTTCAACAATAATATCGTCAAGATGAGCCTAAGGGTTGGGCCAGACTGCGCGGCGTACGCGACGTACGCAGCGTACGCCGCGTATGCTCCTATGTTGAAATATACCGAGCGTACGCTGCGTACGCCGCGTACGCCGCTTCCCCGCGAAGTCTGGCTCAACCCTAAACAGCACCGATGGAGAAACATTGCTGCAGATAGACGCTGACTGGCAATAAGACTATAGCAGAGGATCCTCACCTCAAACTATGCAGCTGGGAGGCGCAGATGGGTTTCCAAACAATCACACATGTGCCAATAAAGTCCATTTGGGGCTTGGAGTTATGGGACACGGAAAAACTCTAGAATATGAGCATCATCCAAACAGAATTCTCAAAGTGAGTTTGAAACTCAAAAAGAGAAAGAACCAAGCCATTGTTCTCACATTTGCGAAAACTTGGAGAAGTATCAGCAGTAAAAGTTGTAGCAGTTCAGAAGTTGTCAAAACCAAGTCAAAGGAGGGAATTCGCTTTCTGACAACGCGCATATGCAGCGCCGACCACTTATTCATACCAAAAAAGCAGATAATTGTTTTCTGATCAATGACACAAAAAATAAGCATGTAAAATTAAGAAAGAACAATCATGCTAAAACAAAAATTAGATATTTTGCCACTGTCGACAACCGCGAAAGATGAACAGAGCTCAGAAACGCCATTATCTAGAAGTAACTCAATCCAAACTTGTTGCTAACGCTTATCTCCCGCTTTCTCCCCATCTCATCAGCTCTCTTCTTCGCCTTCCTCATTTGCATGTTATATTGGACCGAACGTGATAGTTGTACGATTGCAATCGATTTTCATCTATGTTCAACTCTAAGAAAACCTACATAGGTGATGCGATTGACTTTTGCGTTTCGATAGGACTTCGCAATAAAAAAACGTAAAGAGTTAATCATTAAGGGCACCGCTTCAGAAAGTATAGCTGAGTCAGCGCACGCAACTCGTACCTATAGTTAGGTATCGGCCATACTATTCCAGTGATTCCTGCTATTCCTGCGATTCCTGCAATTCCTGTGATTCCCGCACAGTTTAGGCGCCGCTTAAATGAGCGCGTGTTGCGTACAACAACACGTAACACGCGCTCATTTAAGCGGCGTCTAAACTGTGCGGGACTCGCAGGAATTGCAGGAATCGCAGGAATAGCAGGAATCACTGGAATAGTATGGCCGATCCCTTACAAATGGCTGCGAAGAGCGCGCCCCATGTCCCAGTGCAAATCTCGGTTCCCTCCAGGAACCTGGGCGATTAAGCGCGCACATCCTATAATATGAGCGCGAAACAAGTGACACTGAAGAAAGAACGACTCCTTTTGCAGAAGAATCAGAAAAATAAGTGCAGTTGTCAATGTGTGCGATGATCTATCTTTCGTATTCAACAAGATCATTATTCATCAAGGCGGTTCCCCAAGAACTTAGCACGGATACGAAAGTAGTGATTTGTTTGTGAGTGAACAGGGAGCATCTTTCACTGAACATGTTTCCTTTTTAAGGCATCCATAAGAAGAAAAAAGCTGCAGATCCAAGTGTTAGGAGGTAAGTATCACTCATTCTGAGACTGGGAGACTCAAAAATGCTTTTAATTAACAAGCACTTGTAGCATATTTCATTTCCATTGACTTGATTCTTGGATAAGCATGTTAGAGAATTTAAATGCAAAGCGTTTGAGTATTCTATTTCCAGAAGGGTAGTAGATTGCCGATGAGCAGATAAGTATTGGATTTTGATAGCTTAACTGTTCGTGAAATTCACTGCGTTAGCTTCGGCAGCTTATTGATAGGCTTATGTATACCTCCAGCTAGGTAGGGCGCTATCACGCTATCCAGCATACTACCTGTTTGTCGATTTTGATTACCCTTTGATTCAACTGGCATGGCCCTACCTTCCATGCGCCAAGCCAGTTGAACGAAAGGTACGTGATCTTCATTCACAACCTCACAGATGGGATGTGTGCAAAAGCATAGGTACAGTCGTATGGTCAATATGAAGTATCTGTGTGGTTCAGACACTTCTTGTGTCTTTGCCAACTCCTCATCTGAACGCATTCCTTAGGTAGCTATTGCGACGTACTGAAGATAAAACTGCTTTTCATAAAGTCATACCCAAAAACTCCTTCTGTGCATGCAGCACAATGAATTGAAGGGACTTTCTTCGCGAATTTTGATGGTGTAAACGCGGCCTCTTTGACCTTCATTTTTGTGACAGATGAAAAGAAAGCCTGCGTTGTTAAACGAAGAGCCACCTTTCATGGTTGTTTTAGTTCACCTCATAGCATACAGATACTTTCCATTCAGTATAAGAGAGGAGATGTGGATTCAAAATTGCTCATCGTGAGTACGCAACATAGTAGCCAGATTTGTATTCAAAACACAAGCAAAGGTAAAAACTAAGGGAAGAGGCCTATACAAGCTTTTCATCCTTTAGCATCAAGGAATGGAGTCATGCTGCACAGAATTGCTACTAAAAAAGGTCGTACGAGAAAAAAAGTTTACAGAAAAGATCGACCATGTACCTTTATCCTTTCATCGTCAACTTGTGCCGCTGGCTCAATGAAATTCTCGGTACCAGCTCGTTCCACATGACATTGATAAGCTGTCAACAATCAGGATCTTCACTGGTTAGCCTATGTGGCTCAAATAATAAACATCTGTGTCTAAATTGCACGCTTTAACAACAAACGCCCTGCGCGCCGGTCAAATTTGCATTGGATCATGGGGCGCGCTCTTCGCAGCCATTTGTAACTATAGGTACGAGTGCGCACGCAAGGACAAACGTTGTTGCGGACGCTATCGGCGTTTTAATTGGGCGCTCTTTTCTTACTATCTTATTCTGACGTTCTCGTACGGCGTACAAGTGCGTGACCGATGCTGGTTGGTACAGCCTTTAGTTAGTCAAGGAACAAGCGGGATGCGCAGTAATCAGGCTGTCAAGGCTAGGCTAGCAGTGCAGAACGGCCATCGCCCAAACCTAATCCGAACCAAAGAATGAACAACTCACTCTATTTCCCTATCGAGTTTATTTTGCAAGGTTAAAAACTCAGGTATTACCGCAGTCCTTGAGTTTCCAAGCGCAGGCACATGATCGTTAACATTTCGTTGAATGAGAAGCAAAAAGAGATAAAACGAAAAAGCAGAATGATTATAAAAAGAAATGCTAACCCCTCCTCCTTCTTAGAAATTTCCTGACGTCACCCATTACACCTGTGAATGTGGCCGGTCCCGGATACTCACTGCTTCGCTCTTTCTTCTCAACTCTCATCGCTTTCTAAATTGGGCCACAATATCCACCCGTTATGTACCTATAACAACTTCGGTTTATAAATGAGATACAAGCATCGAAAAAGCACGCTGCTTTCTCAAAACAGAAAGGTTGCAGCAAATGCAGTTTCCAGCTGTGTTAGCAAATAATTACGCAGTTGTACTGTACAAAGATAATGAACGTAATGGTGAGAATGCATATAAATGCAATTAATGGCAATTCTGGATGTTTCGCTGTTCTCAGCAAAAGCTGTGAATGTGTAGCACGTTGAGAAACGGAAAGCATCAGCCAACCGTATTTGCTATTTCTGCCTCTTATCACATTACAAGTCAATATTAGGCGTAAGCATAAGTTGCCTATAAGAATAAGAGACTCGCTTTGAGATTGGCAATGCTACTTTCATATAATTTGAAAAAGCAATTCCAGGGGTTTTTCTATTATAGGGCAAAGTGGGAGTGAAAGAACTCGTCACTTTGCAACGCTAAGTTTACAATGTCGTTAGTAAGCAAATATTAGCACGTGCAGTTAGCTTCCAGTAAGCAAGAAACAATGTCGAAAGCATGGAAACTCTTGTCTTGAGAAAAAAGCCTCAATAAATTTGCTCATGGGCATCATCATAACCTGACCGATCTGTTGTGACAGATGGCTTCCACTGAAAATTTTCACCTCATTCTAAACATCACTGAAAAATAGACGTGGTAGATTTAAAAATCCTACTAAGAATTAAAACTGTAATGAAAAATGATAAGCGAGCCAATAAGGATTTTAGAATCGTTTCGAGATGCTTATAAGTGAACAATAAAAGAATGCATTGAAACAACAGCTGATTACACGATCACGACATATACAATTACACGAAAATTGGAAGAAAAGTACAGGAAATAGAATCTCCTGCAAATTGGAGAACAAAACTAATTATAAACTAGAGGAGATAATAGCAGCTCGGGTTCAAAAACTTACCAGATAGCTGTAACACTTCCGAGATCCGCTTCAAATTTTTAAAAAGTATCTAATTTCCATCAAGACCAGACATTAACCTATATCAGAAGATGGCACACTTGAGCGTTGACTGCCCGGAACTGCGATAAAACCAAATCACGAAAGCCGGAATAAGATACGGATGTCATGTCAAAAAAGAGAATTTTGATTAACTCGTCAAAAATTATGCTAGTTCAGATGATAGTTGCATTGACAACAAAAGGAAAAAGTGAAAGGAAGCGGGAAAAAAAGCCGAAAACGTCGAATCCGCACAAGCACAGCGAGGAAAAATGTGTGCAGTTTTCCGTTGAGTTTTTCTGCATTGTTAGGCAAATTATGATGTTTTGTAAGTTACTCAGGAGCAACTTACGAGAAGTTTCTCTGCGTATCATCATTGGCACACTATTTTCACCAATTGGTAGTCTAACTGAATGTGAACTGACTGAAGTAAGGTAGACTACCTCGTCAGGTAGACGGACGGTCAGCTGAAATTTCATTTAGCATTCTTACAACGTGGAGAGCTGGTGATAGGCAGTCTACCTTACCGAAGCTTGGATGAGGGCTTCAGTTCAGTTCACCTGAACTGAATTAGGTTTACTACGGGCCAGTGTATGCATACTTTTGGGACACACTGTATACTAGGGAACCCTTCTTGGTAAGGCAATCTCAAAACTACTTTCGCTAGTTGCCGAATGGTTTTGTGGGGGGGGGGGGGAGTTATAAGGGGTTATGAGGTCTTTTTTCTCCGGCGCAGCCGGTGCACCTACTAAAGGGCGAGGATGTTTGCAGTAAGTGTGGCAGTGGCGCAGTGGCAAGGCAGCGGGCTCTAAGGAAGTTGTCAAAGGCTCGAATCCTGTTGATGGCGTTTTGTTTTGTTTTGTAAAAGTCTGTTGGGTGACAGTAAACGAGAAACATTCGTCGCTACGCAGTTGAAACAAGCTATTTACTGCAAAAATCACCATTTCTACAATTAGCTAAAATTTTCTACAACATGTAAATTCGTGGGGATTATGATTTTACAATAATGGATCTCAATGATATATCAATACGTATGAAATACTACCACAAAATGTTCAAGACAAAAGAGCTTCTCGCAGCACGCGCACTTGCAAAAATGCAATCGATCGCAATCAGCAGCTTTACCTATCAAAGCAGGACCACGCAGGTAAAGCAAGTGCCAGGTATGCGCATATAGCAAAAAGCTCTGCTGCAAATTCTTACGATGTATCGTACCTTTCGGAAGAATTCGGACGGTGTGACGTTTCTCCAAAACCGACA